GCTCAAGGTCGATTGACTACCAATGTCTGGAAACTGTACCGCGCTGTTCCGGGGCAGGCGTGATCTAGTAGATCCGAATCACCACAGAAATTCATTGACTGGACATTCGCAAAAGTCAAAACACGAAGTACGTTCAGCTTACTGAGGATGTTACTTCTCCCAGCACATGCACCACGCTTACGATATTTTAGTGTGAGTTATTCCTCTCCATGTCTCTCTTTCTGTGGGCATATTACAATTTTTACATTTACCCATATATAAATACTTTTCTAAAGCATTGCAACTGTTCTTTGGTTAATGGAAGCCCTCCGCCCCCGCCCCCGCATCAACCTGAAATGGACAGTTTTGTCAGTTTGTCCAAGCTGTGTGAAGAGCGTGATTAACTGTTTCATCAACCCAACATGGCACGTAATTTCACACAAGCATGTTGTGCAATAAATCAATTTGGATTAAAATAAAACAGAAATCACGTTGCAACACCTATTGGTAATGATTGAATCCCCCAGTTGTCTCCTGACACGGTTTTAACAGTTTCAGAATTATGCAAAGGTAATGAAAAATTAAATGATGAATCCGGATTCCTGTATACTGTTTTCTGGTGTGTTGCTTTTGTTACTAACTAATCTGATGTTTTTTATTCGCCCGGTATTATATCAGTTTCAATAAGCTCCGCAATTAAAACCAGACACTTCTGTCGCTCGTTCTCATTTACACTTCGAACCTGACCTTTTCAGATGCCGAGAACTGAACCCGACAATTGAACCTCAACGATTGTTTTAGCCATTGATTTCCAGTGTCAGTACCATGAAGATGTGGTTACGTGTGTTTCGCACGACTCCTCTAGGTGAACTGCTAGTGGTCCACTGATGCGCTATAACCCCAAATGTTGAATTTTCATCTCCTGATTTGAGTAGAGCTTCTTTAGCAGAGTAAATATACTGGCGGGGTATATCCACAAAATCTGTAATGCTAAGTCAAATGTAGCCCCTCCACTGACTGGTTGGGATATGGTGAAAACTAGCGCATTCAACGGGAAAAGTAAAACTTGATCAAGCTGAACTGATGAATCCAAGTATCTTAAACACTGATTAAGACTTATTTTAATCAGAGCGATCCAAATAACTCAGCTGTATTCCAATGGATAGAAGGAAGTTTAGAAAAGCGGATTAGTTCAGGTTCCTTTCCATGACAGGACGGGAAAACCTCAGCATGACAAAATGGATATCTGGACGTGTTTGTGAGAGGTGCATTGATAGTTAACTCTGTCAATCAAAAAAAAACAAGTACATTGTCTGGATCATTAAGTTCCTTGAGGGAAAAGAAAGATTATTGTCACTTTACAGCCTACATTAAAATAATAACAATAATTCTAACAGCATGGCACAAAGAAAATGAATAAAACTGCTGCCACGAAAGATGACTAACATCAACTGTGCCTTCATGCACATTTTCCAAAGCACCCGGACACCAGAAGATTGCCGGCGTCTGTATTGATCGAATCCATGTACAAAAAGAGGAATGTATCTAAAAAGTGTGGTGGGTAGCCTCCGGGGAACATTTCTACCACATGCGTACCAGCAGTAACTTGTGCCTGGTGCCCATTCTAAATTACCTTACACAAACGACTTTATATATTTAGTTTCGGAGTGTTCGCACAAATAAGAAACTGTTTTATTCACCCAAGAAAAATCAACACTCACAGTTGACGAACCATAATAAAGTGAAAAATGTATTTCCCGCATAAGATTTGAAGGTATATTACTGTTTTTTTTCAGGCTTTATTGCACTCGGTTTATAATAGAAAGAGAAAAAACAGGTGATATTATTTTAAGTGTTCCGACGGTTTATCAAGTTGCGATTGGAATAGTTCAACTGTAGGATCACCCACTACATCCGATGGGAGAGAATTCCAAACATCTGAAGCTAAACAGAATAGTGTCGTTCCTGTCAAAGTGGAGATGAAAGTCTGGCGGTTTGGGTCATTCGAGCACTGGTTCTCATATTCAGTGTTGCAGGTCCACCACCATCATCATAGCCGATCCGTCCCAAGTTTGAGTCTTGTGAAAGATTTTGAACCATCAGAGCCTCTATCCTGGAAACTTGTACTGCTACGCTGTCGGTAAGAGGAACCAAAGTTTCACTTTTATCAATGATCATATAGTTACGAAATCAGAAAAAATTTCTGCAGGGCAAATTGTCCAAACAAAAAAGTGAAGATTCCCGTTTTTGCAGTGAGATTGTTTGTGATGTCTGATAACAAGCATCGGAACAGCTTCTTCGTACTTGCTGGGACTCGCCAGTCATGTGANATGTGAGCTTCCAGAATTGCTTCTAGGACCCAAACTGAGACTAGACAGCTGTCCAGAGAACTTTATCGGTCACCGCAGAAAATCGCATTGCATTTTTCTTGAGCTGAGTCAAAGAACCCACACCATAAACACAGCTTAGTACCTAAACAATTAGAATGGAATAACAGGAACATAACATTTGAAAAGTGTATGCAATCTATATGAACTTTGGTTAGTCATTCTTTACACCTCATTTTTCCTTCACATTCACAGTCAACCCGAAGATAGCTGAGCTGTAACATTTTTACAAAACTGTGTAATTTCAACATTGCTCTCATAACCTATGGTATGGTGTTCTCCTGTCAGCCCACTCACGTGACAAAATACCTGTTCCGCCATTTCGAGGACTTTAAAAGCACGCAATCAATTCGATCACGTGTTCTTTTCCTCTGCTCTCTCTCTCCCACTTGATGACCGGCTATGGCAAGTATTTGTGATTTTCTGTTCCTGTGACCGAATCACGCACGTATCAACTCATTTATTGCAGCGTGAAGTGATCGTGGTTGGATTCGGTCAAGCTGGCACGCAACTGTCAAATGCTGTTTGGGAATTACTTTGCATCGAACATGGAATCAATGCTAATGGACTTCCCGTGGCATCACTGGGTTTGGATGATTTGCAAAGTAGCGAAACGTTTTTCCAGGGCACTCCAACTGGCCAACGAGTGCCACGTGCTGTCATCATTGATTTGGAACCGACCGTGATAGGTGAGAGTCCCCACCCCACCCCAGTTCGGCCTAGCACAATCTTTCTACGGTTCCATTTTTCCTATAAAAAAATACTATCTTGTTGAAATTCGGATCCGCAGCAAGACATGGAGAGAAATGAAGCTTAAGAAACTTTGGTATCTAAATTGCCAATAGACAGAATAGAAAACCTTGTAATTTTGCTTCATTTATCCAAAATCGAAAAATAAATATTCCTATGATTCCCATGGGTCCATAAGAACAAAATGGTAACGTGACGAAATTGCTTTTCAATATATCGCTTCAGTTATCTACATATACGATTCGATTAGTTAGTAGATTACTACAAGGCCTAACCTGGTATTGAATGAATGTGTTTGTGTGCAAATCGTTTGAATGACAACAGGCTATAGGGTCGTCATAGAGGGATAAGGAAAAGTAGGGTACAAAAATGTGAAGTGGACATGATTTGAAAAGTGTCAGTCAACAGTGAATAAAACAGGTGTGAAACTGTGAGAAAAAAGGCAGTAGATGATTTAAAGCTAGAGAATGGAAACGGTGCCACATAGAACAATGGAGCAATCAATCTCTTGGTCAGGATAAGCGCAACGCCTGCGCAACTCCGGCTTCACAATCCTAATTGCCACGGATTCCGCAGTTGTCAGGATCTTCTAACGCAATTCTTTTGTATGTCGATTGTGAAAAGTTCAGTAGCCTTGGTGTGTTTCTTAGATGCTGTAAATGAACTATCAAATGATGTTTCTGAGTCAATCATGTGTTTACTGTCGACCAAATTTCGCACAATTGAGCTGTTCAATCTTCTCCGTGTTCCTTTTTTTGAAAAGCGGTCGAATAAAAGTTCAGATGTTCCCTTGAACAAGCGCCTCATTCGATAATTGAAATTTCGTATTTTTGATTTTGATTTTGATTTCTATTAGGACCTAAAAATCACTGTTTCTTAACTCTGAGTTGTAAAATAGAATGAGTTAATAATCCGCAAAACTTCATTATTGTGGTACCACCTGGTTCATGTATAACAATACTGGGAAGTGTCTTGGAACTACTTGGAATTGCGTCAGTTTTCTCAGTCAGTCATTTGACTCCGTTTCTGTGACGTAACTCGAACCCGGTGGCCAATAGCATAGATTAGGGTGGATAGAATCATCACTGCAAACTCGAAGGGCAATATCTCTATCATGAAAAAAAAATTCATTCCAACGCTGCATATTGAGTCCCCTTATTTTTATCCTGGTATTCCTCCATGCATTCTACTTTTGATCGTGCAGACGACAGATAGCTATCCACACAGTTGTATGAAGTTCTTGTCCAGCAAACCTGGTCTGAGTACCACTTTTCATTGACTTTTCATTGGGTAACCAATTCTTCGTTTGTGGTCAACTATGTACTCAGTGATTTCTGCTGCACAGTATCCCGGCAAGAAAAGCATTCTTTATTTTACCGTAATAAATATTTTAAGAACCAACGCGTTGACAATGAATTAAAATGCTTTTTATCTCCAAACTCGGTGGTAGAGGATAGAAAAAGCACTATTTCCCAGTCAAATGACTAACCTCTGGTTTTCTATCCAGCGGTTCTATCAACGCGGTTCATGCTAATTTGATTTTTACCAATTGACACAAATTTGAGTTTCATCAATCGTTTTTTTTAATCCTTTATTTCGGATACACTGCATTTAGTCGGTATGTACAGACTCGGTAAATATAAGCACATGCGCTCTGCTCTGTAGGTATTAACCCGTACTGAACCGTCAGGATGTATAACACACAGCAGTAACACTGTGAGCATCACATACCGAATCGGAGATTTTGGTTTAATCAATGTCATGGCTTTTGATTAGTAAGCCCGACTGGTTGATTCGTGAGTGATATGCTGTGGGTGGCGTGAAACAAAGGCATCTTCTATGATTTGAGAGTGAGATGAAGAACCGGGCTGATCGGAATGAGGGTTTTCCAAATTTGTGCCTGAGAGTTTAGAGCACTGAAACCGATTTTGTTTTTCACCTTTTTCTCTTGCAGTTTGCTTTTCCCCCACCATACAACGTTGTTCTCTGCTCGTTCTTATCTCTGGCGTCACCTGCACCGACATCGATTTATATTACTGAATTAGAAATGAAGTGATTAACAAATAACGGTCCGTTTTTATACATACAGTGCTGCAAGGTAGATATTTGTCAAGAAAATGCACATCCTGGACACATGTATAAGAATGTCCTGAAAGTAGATTACCGGAAACTGATACTAGTGGCAACATCCGAGAAACTGGTCGTGAGCTTCCATTGAACTATTGTCGTTATACATATAAATATTTTTATAGATATATATAATATTACACATATATTTCAAGGTTTGCAATCGCTTTTTCATTTTTTTACTACTTAGAAATATCTCCAAGACTGTATGAAGGGAATGGAGAAGTTGATTTGATTATATGAGGAATTGGTCGTGTAAATGAGGCGTGATCTGAAAAGCTGGGATGCAGTGAGCAGCTGTTTCGGCCTGTTTGGGTCTCATCAGCAGTGCAAATCCGTCGACCCAACTAGGGAACTCAGGGACTGTTAGATTGATCTAGCCAGATGGTCAGATAGATTAGATCCTGTGGCTGTGTGGTATACAGTGAGGGGTGTATACAGATGCACTTGCTGCACGCGTGCGATTTACCGGAATGTTATACGTTTATACTTGACCACTCCGAAACATTTTAGTCCGGAAAAATTGGTAGCCAAAAGATAGTAACAAAAACCAGAGCACAAAAAAGCAACCGGTGCAAAGTGGAAGCTGAAACTGGAACAACACCGCCTATTGCACTCCTAGATACTGAATGATACTTTCACAGACAATTGCTTATGTAGAACCCCCCACCGGTGAACTCACTGTAGAACTCAACAGCTGTACAAGTCGCACACTGTATGAAGGTGTCGCATTGCGGAGGTGCATTGCTTATCATCAGCACAGTCCTAGGGTACAACGGTTCGTGGTAAGTGCGGTGGAGGAAGAGTGACTGGAGTATTCTATGAAAATAACTAATACAAGGTTTACTGGTTTGAAAAGTGTGTTTCGGATATCCCGGAATTCCCTTATTCTCTTCAATTGCTTTTTGACTCGCTGGCTGTTCGTTCCCTCCTGGTTTTATCCATAAATTGTTTTCTCCATTGGCCCACTTTTATTTCCACACTTGTCTCTCGTGCTGCGAGAAAAGTCGGTTTTCTATTCCGTGCAAAGCTCAAATACGCCTGATGCTCGAATACTGCATTCACCTATGGGGTGGAGCTCTGTCTCTCCTCGACCATGTTCAACGTAAGGCTATTCGGCTGACTGACCACCTGTCTGTCACATAAGAAACAAAACGATAAGATTGCTGTAAATGTACTAACCCTGTTTTAACCAGTGAAGCCAACTTGATTGATTACCTTTGCTGTACAAATGAATGTCATACAGACACTTCGAAACGGTTTCAGTTTTAACGGGCAACTTATTGGGATGTTACCGCCCCGCTTACTCCATCTCATCTGTATAATCAATACAGAAGTTAGCGATTGAGGAGAATAAACGAACTGTTCGTATCTTGCGATATTTGTATTGTTGAAATGAATAAAAGGGGCCCAATGCTTTATCTGTATCCAACTACGCAAGCATCAAAGTTCGAAAACCGGCAGTGAATAGGCTTTTTCTCTGCATACACATAAAACAGACCTGACCCAAATATGAGTGTGCCACAGTTCACACGACTCCTTTTTGTTTGAGAATACACAAAACCGGTACCAAATATGTATCAGTTAAGTGTACGCTACTTGAGTCATAAATATGTGTTATCTCTGTTGTCAGATACATCATTGTACTAGAACGGTTTGCAGAATTGTGTCTACCACAAATATGAAAGTAGAATAAGAAGAAAACCGCCTTCCCTGTTGTACTCGGGCGAGAAGAAACGAAATCTCAAACTCGGTCTCGGTTCTTCATACTCAGACACTCATTTCAAGGATGTTTGGTGCCAGGATTCAAAGAGCTCCAATGGATCGAAGGTTGATTCACATAGAGAAAGATGAGCAACACGGTCCCGGTGAAGAAATGCTTTTTCCTGATTATCAAGACAATTATCTAATTTCCTATGACCGATTTTAACCGGTCTACGAAATATAAAGTGATCTGTAAACTTTTAATGGGTGTCAATATTTTTTTGGAAGCTGCAAAAAGATTACCACTACCCTTAGGGGGAGATGAATATCCGTGATCAGCAAGCCAGATTCCGACCAGGTCGCAGTTGTATCGACCAAACCTTTACTCTGCTTCAAATCCTTGAACTGCGTCACACACGCATCGTCGGCCAACAATCGCAGTGTTCGTTGACCTGAAAGAAGCCTTCGATTCAGTTGATTTCGAAGTTTTATTGGGTCACTGCTTCGCAAAGGAATGTCCCGGAATTATGTAAACCTATTGCAGTCGCTGCACCTGCATACTTCTGGTAACGTAAGGGTCTACGGTGGGCTAAGTAAATCGTTCGAAACCAGGAGCGGTAATCGTCAAGGATGCTGTATTTCGCCATTCCTGTTCAATTTCGTTGTAGGTGGTGTAGAGCGGTTACTTTCGTTAGAGACCCACTATCCACACCCAACACATGACGACGAACCTCGTCATTGCTCATCCGATTTTCACACCACACATGAGCAATGCTTCGGAGACATCGGTGGTTGAATACAGAAAGTAGATTAGCATCCTCAACGAGGAGGGGCCAGGTCCCACAACCGTAAAGCAAAACGCTATGAACTGTAGCGAAGTTCATCCTTCCTTTAAGGGACAGTCGGATGTCATGGCGGCTCCACAGGTTTCGCAGTTTGGCGAAAGCTGCTCTAGCTGTTGTTATTCTTGATGTGATCTCCTCTCGAACATCACCACCAGCGGCGATCAAGCTCCAAGGTACTTAAAGCTGTCAACCACTTCCATCTGATCATCACAGAGGGTGAGTGCAGGCACAGGCTCCTGCTAGTCTTGAACAAGCACTCTGCATTTGGAGGGGAAAAGCACATAGCATACCTCGATCGCCAAGCGGTTCAGAGCGTGTCCGACTGCCTGTGTGTTGTCACCATAGGCGTTCACTTTCTCTGTCTCCATTCAGTAAGGCCCAATCCCTCTCTGTCGTGTGCTTTATCGCTTGATTTGTGTACATTGTGAGCTTGGCAGTGATCAGTGAAGTTCGCTTCACCGTATCTTACTGTACGATGATGAGGAGTATGACTACCAAGAGCCTTCCAAAGTAGTGCATCCATTCTGTTCCGCAAGCGACTATGACGTCTGCTAACCATAGACCTCAACCTATGCTTTGAACGATGAATCAAATGAAAGAATCCATGGCCAGCATGGTTGTAACAACAACAACAACGACTACTACTACTACTGTTATAATTCCAGATCCTTGGGGGAGGTTGTGACGATCTATGTAATAACTTCCAATTTACCTTCAAGTTACTTATGAGTAGTAAATTGGAATAAGTGTTTTTTTATTGTGACTGTTCTTCTCACCCACCGCTACTTCTTCGTGCGAATCAATTCCATTACATATCGAGTTGAAAATGCTAAACTCTGGTTTTATTCTCAGACAAGTGAACCAATTGTAAACATCCACCGACAGTTTAGAATTTTAAACACTGAATCTCTTGCAAGGATGCCATTATTTTTGAAAATAAATGTTTTAGTTTTTTTGTTTGTTGATCATAGAAGTACACAATAAACTTGTGGGAAGGGGGCTGAGATCAAATAAAGGTTGTCTGGGGAGATAAAGAACGAAGGAAGATGGGTGGCGATGGGGTGATTCAAACTCTGGATCTTGAAGTGGTCATCTTGACGATAAAGTTGACTTATTCATTCCGGTTAACCGCTGATTAGTACAATTTTAGTATCTCAGTCTTCTGTGTTACAGGTTCAATGTTAAAACACTTACTTGGCTGGTTAATAAGCTTCAGAAATAAGCTAGACCACCAGAGAAACTCCGGTTCACTGTTTTTCTATTGTATGATTGATTAGATGAACTGAGGACTGTGTGTGAAGATGGAGTCTGAAGGACAGTCAGTTAAAATCTGTGAATCACGCATCGTAAACTTCAGTCATGGTTACATTGAAAACATTTAAAACACTTAGTCCCCTTTATCTACTTCAACAATACAGAAAGAATACCATTTCTGCGAGATGTTAACATAACCGACGTAAAATAAATCGGCACACTTATAGCACATGGGTTATGGTGAACGAACGTGTACAAGCCTTAAAGGATTACCAAATATAGACGTAGAAGGTCAACTACACGATAAGTGGATGGATTGTATCAAAATGTTTGCACGCATTTACCGGGTGATGTAACCGAATGGGCACCAGTTCACTAATCGCCAAGAATTTGGTGTTGCGATGACGTAATCGTGGTTTGAAAGACGAACTGGGGTCAACTGTATCTTGTTTTCATGAGATATTTGCAATAGATCACCCTGGATTTCCTGTGATCGTTTGGCCATCAGTTATTAGCCACATCATCAACGGGCAGCTGCGCTGCACACCACTGCCACACCTTCTCCCCTATTAACCAAGCCTTGCGACACCAAATTTTAGAAAAAATATTTTTCAGCATTCGTTGCTTTGGAAATATTCCGATACCTATTTATCTGTCTTATCTACGGTGAGTTTCAGCGTTGGGGCAAAAAAACTTTAAATCGTGGCTAAAGAATCGCTAGTCAATACAAAAAGGATGTGGAGCTGGGCTAAAAAATTGCAAATTTCGGATAAACCTTGATGGGAAACAGGGTAGCAATATTCACAAGAAGCCTATCAGAATTCGCTTTTTGTTTCAATTTTGTTTATTTCAGTAGCATTTAAGTCCTAACATCCACAACGAAAGGTCTTATTACCTTTTAATTCGGACTCCTCTGACTGGGCCCCATCTGCATATCCTCTGTACGTACATAAACGAGATGTCTCTATGCTAATGAAGAGTACTAATACAAGATTTGTCTGTTTTAATGTTTTCTGATTTCTACATGCCATGAGTCACAACAACGGTGAAAGTGGTGCAGATGGTGATGATGAGGATGGTGGTGGTGGTGGTGGTGGTGGTAGTGGTGGTGGTGGTGATGCAGTTTGAGATCACTTATTTAATTGTTATACAAATACCACTCACTATTTCAGTTCCTTCCATTATTCCCTTTTTCTGCTGTTGCCTCAGATGAGATTCGTACGGGAGTATACAGGCGTCTATTTCATCCCGACCAGTTGATCACTTCTGTTGAAGACGCTGCAAACAATTATGCTCGTGGCTTTTACAGCCTCGGTCGTGGCACAGTTGGTCGAGTTTTATCCCAAATTCGGCGAGTAACTGAGGCGTGTGATATGTTCCAAGGGTTTTTTCTTATCAACAGCTTTGGAGGTGGCACGGGGTCTGGATTAACATCCCTGGTACAAAACCATCTGTCAACGGAATACGCGAAACGCTCAAAAATTCAAATCGGTATCTACCCCGGTCCGCGACTATCAACAGGAATAGTGGAGCCTTATAATTCTGTTCTCACATTCAATTCCTCCATGGAACAGTCAGAACTGAGTATTCTTTTGGACAACGAATCATTGTACGATCTGTGCGATATCAAGCTGAATTTAACACGACCGACCTACACTGATATCAATCGAATCACTTCAGTTCTGTTGAGCAGTTTAACTGCCCCATTACGATTTGAATCTTCCCTAAACTCGGATCTGACTCAGTTGGAAACAAATCTGGTCCCCTATCCGCGCATACACTTTCCCATCATTAGTTACTCGCCGATTGTCTCCCCGGAGTGGTCGGAACACGACACGTGCTCCGTGAATGATCTGACCAGGATGTTGTTTGCACGGGACAGTCAAATGCTAAATGTCGACCTCGCACAGGGAAAAATCATGAGCTGTTGCATTCAGTATCGGGGTAATGTGGCCCTGCAAGAAGTGAGCAAAGCAATTATGGACACGAAATGTCGACGACTGTGGCATTTTGTCGACTGGTGTCCGACTGGATTCAAACTGGGCATTGTCAGTCAACCACCGACGATCCCGTCCTATGCTCCACTGGCTCAGACCAAACGATCCGCTACACTGCTTGTGAACACCTCAGCTGTGAATCAAGCTCTTCGAAAAGTTAACAGTAAATTTGATACTCTCTATCAGAAGCGCGCTTTTGTGCACTGGTTTGTGTCCGAGGGCATGGAGGAAGCGGAATTCACCGAGGCGAGAGAAGATATGTCTGTTCTGGAAAAAGATTATCTTGAAGTGACACAGACCACCAAATTCGCTGAGGAACAGGAGATGGGTCTGCAGATTGGGACCCAAGAAACTTTGGAACAACCGGAAGATATGATTTCACCAAGTGATCCTATATGGCAAACATCTAGCAATCATTTCATTCCATGGATTGAGTTAGAAGGGGATATTGAATCGGTTTCCCGTTAGAATAACCGAGTTCTGTGCAGAGATCTCGTGAAAGATCGAAAAACTCTAGTCACTTCAAGATCAAATGAAGGTTTAAACATTTCACATCACTTTCTTTTGTGAATTTCTTTTTTTGTTACTGACCACTTTGTCAGGCGGACGGTGTCTTTATCACGTCGAAGTATCCATTTGTTGTGCATTGCTTTTCCAATCACGATTTCGAACTAGCAGAGCAAAACTAATTCTGTTATTCCCCATCTTTCATATCATTTTTGCACAAATGCAGACGAGAAGTGAGATGGAGACAGAGGAACTAATTGTCAGGGTGTAGAAGAAATTCGGCTAGCCGTTTGATGCACAGTATTTCCAGACAACCTCGTATGTTGCCAACTTCGAAGAAAGTTTCTTGGTTGGGAATTCTGTAGCTCAATCTCATCGGCTGTTTCCGATACAACATTATCTTTGCTGTATCATGTTTCTTCTAATAATTTGACCAAGATAAGTGTGCACACTTGACGGTGCTTTGCTTTTGAGAAGCGAATAATGGTTTATTGTTTCACAGGGTAATGAAAATAGGAAGCCGTTATCAAAAAAGGTAGGAAATTTACTTTCAAATCAGTGTCCTGTTGCTCTACCCACCTCTGCCCCTGTGAACAACCCCTGAGAGCGAGAACTCAGTACTCCAAATAGTCGAATCATGCATACCGTCAGGAAAGAAACTACCCATGCTTATAAGAAAAAGTTAATAAGAGGTCTCGTAGACTTTTCGGTCGGGTCCCCGGGAATCAGATCAACCGATTGAGCGCCATTCACGAAGGTGCTTAGATATATTCAGTTTCCTGTGCTTAGTCAGAATGTTTGCAAGTAAAGCAACCAGAATCGAAGAAAAGCAATGCAAGGAATCGAAATGAGTATGCAATTCACCAGGGTCTATTCGCTTATCATCACAAGCAAGCAGAAATTCTCATAAAATTCAGTAAAATTAGATTGTTTATATGAGGAGAATCGAAGGGGTTCAAACCCACTCACTACTCGTGAACCCCACTGTATTTATGTTGCAGTCAACGGTTACCTAGAGGAGCAATAAACCCAAACGATTGTTTGATTGACTGAATAGTTGGATTGATTGACTCGTCAACTGACTGACTGTGCGGTGGTGGCCCGGTGGTAACGTCGACAAATTATCACCCCGGGGATGTGTGCTCGAATCCCACCGCCACCGCTTGACTTTCTCCATTGTGTATTGAATGGCAGCCCTTTGATTGGCCGCTTCCCCCTTCCTGAAAATTGAACCATTGCATATTCAATAAAAGGAAGTAAAATTAAAAAAAAGATAAAGATGTATTCATTCATTCATTTATTCATTGATTACTTGTTTGGAAACAAGGATTTTTGTTATAAACCCCAAAGTAGAAGATCAAAAAATTCTTTATGTACAACACACTTTCATTAGTTATTTATAATTCTTCTTTCTTCTCTGTCGATTCAAAACTGTTTACCTATGAGGACAGAAGCTGAACATTATTAACCCTGTAGTCATGTTCATCTCACTATGACTTGTTTGACACAGTGGTAACACACGCTTTCCGTGCCGGTTCAAATCAAAAACTCCTAAGGTAAATAGATACTAGTTATGGGCCTTAACAAAAGAGAAACCACAGTCTGCAGCTTTGCGAATGTACCCGTTGGTTCGGTGAAATGTGAGTTGTGAGTGAGTAGAAACTGTAGAGGGTGGTCCGTTCAAATCCGCTGTAGTGATTATTTCCTGATGATGTTTGGTTTCGCTATTGGGAATTTTGTAGTAGTATAGTGTTTCGATGTAGTTAAATTTTTCCAATCTCCCCTCATCCACATGGGTAGTAACCAAAATAGTCCCAAGAATGTGCATGATTAACTGTTCTACAAACTAAACCCAACTGAAATTTTATTGCTCTGTAACCCCCCACCTACACACACACACACACACACACACACATTCAGCACGCATATTGAACCTTGTAATCAACGGAGAGCTCCTTTACTAAGAAACATATGTACACATTATTTTCCCAGAACTCTGATTTTTTCGCTAATCTCCGTCAAAGAAATGTTTTACTGATCCCCCTCAAATGCATCACAAATGCATTTTAGACCACTGCGGTCAAACTCTCAAGCATTTTTCGATAATTCCCCGATTGCATCCATAGATAAACAGAAGAAAATCGGACGTTACCAAAACCCGATTGTGCATGGCCAACACAAACATTTACATTGCCGAGACTGATATTGTTGCCCTTTGTTAAATTACATTAGACAAGCTGCGTATTAAAGCATTATGTACCGTGAGAGAATGTGGGATAGGTTTTCAGTAAAAGAATGAAATTCCGAAGGAGATGAAACTGTCTGACATAAAACGACGCCATCAGCATACTTTTGGATGGGCGCAGGGGGTGGGATCGAAAGAACGCTAGTAAAGGCACAGAAGAGATATGTAGGTGAGACAGCACCTTGAAGAACACCAGAATTATTCACAAGAGATTTTGATGTCCTCCTTCCTAATTTGGTGCAGTGAACCCTCTCTGTGAATTAGTCGGCAAGCCATGAGAGCAGTTGTTTTGGAGTGCCAAAAGATTCAAGTTTGAAAAGAAGAGATGATCGGGAAACAGAATTAAACGCAGACGAATAGTCAAGAAAAACACAACGAACAGACTTGACCGAATGGTTCAATGACTTGCTGAGAAAATGCATTAGAGTGGGCACGGCATCCAATGTAGATCTGTTTGGTTTATGCGCAAACTGAAGGGGGTCGTGAGGAATTGTGGTGTCTGACTGCAACCGACTCGGGATGGCTTTTTCACTTAACTTTAGAGCCACTGAGGTCAACGCGATAGGACGAAGCCGTCTCGGAAGAACAGTTGAGGAGGTGGATTTGGGGGTCGGANATAATGGTCACTGGTCTGTCAACAATCACAGTCCTGTTATTGCACCCAGGTAAGATTTTCCAAAAATGAAACTTTTACTTAAATGTTTGCAAAATACCATCTCCTGAATTCGATGGACAGAAATGAATTCAGCGTGGCGTATTTGGAATTCGATTGTTCACAAAGACCGTTGATGATCTCGTGAGAAATGAATTCATTTTGTTTTGTTTTGCACAACAAGACCGAAAGATGGTACCTGCAGCGAGATACTAATATTTCTTGTAATCTGCTCAATCGCTGACGTAAAAAAATGGGCAAACGTTTATAGCCCATTTTGTTAGTAAATCTCAGTAAACGTATGTGTACGGATAGATACGGGGCGATTAAAATTAAAAATAAATGATCAACCCCAGGACACGTGAACTGCTTGCGTCAGCAACTTTTGAGCGCACAGAACTGGATGATGTAATTCTACTAAGAATGCCTTACTAATTACCAACAGTTTCGCGTCGCAGTTGCTCAATAATTGATTGAAAGAGGAAGCGGGATCAATTTTATGTCTGGTTATCATGTACTTTGCAATGGACATCCCCGGGCTCCTTGTAACCGTCTGCTTATCGGCCGTCATCGAATTCGCTTCACGCTTCGGAATGTGTTTGGTTATTCACTTTTATAACTGACGGTTGGTTATGCCTATGTATGCCTCTCCGAAACTGCAAGTGAACTGGTATAGTGAGAGAGACCGAAATGGGTTACCAACTACGTATACGTTTGGAAAAACCGATTCCTCTGGTAGAGTCAGTAAGCCGAATTCGGGAAGCTGGGAACGTGTGGTTCCGAGCTGACTTTAACTTTGAACGCACATCGTTCATAAGCTAGTAAGTAGCCCTTGAAATATTATTTGACGTCGAAGGCTTTGGAGTAATAATTGGAGATGGGTTGCCTCTCTGATGAATTTTTCTGGTAGCAACGCTTGCATCTAGAACTCTTCTTCTTCTCGCCGTGTTTCTGGGAAATGACTTTTCTCGGCTCGATTAAATAGTTTTTACAAGTCCACGTTTCTAAGCGAGAAGCTAGAGAATTCTAGATACTGGTCGCTGCATTTTGCTTTCCGATGTACAGAACGTTGTAGTATACCATCTTAACACCTCGTAAATCTATTATCATTGGTTTCATCTTCATGTATGTGGAAAGATGTGGATGAACAGAGATAATTTCATTCAAAATGGATTCAAAATTTTCACGCTCCGTAACAATAGAACACTGTTACGTTTTGCCACGACGTATGATCGATACGTGCACCTCTTGACTAGTCCACAACAACTGGAGAGAGAACACGGCTGAGAAAAACGACAGTCAAAGTATATTGCTGATCATGAAGTAATACGTAAATATACGTGACAAATTACGTGTACTACACCTTTTCCCATCAAGCTTTAGCCAAAACCTGCAATGCTTTAGCCACGACCCGCAGTTCTTTAGCCTCGACGCACAACCTTTGGTCACACCGCTGTAGGCGA